AATTGATATGAATTTACCTGATTGGTAGATCAACAAAGTATTAAAGGGAAGGATATTTAGGTTAGCCTTTGTGTGGTATCAATTTATATTAAAATTCCAGGGAGGCAAATCATCTAGTCTTTTTTTGTCTTAGTTCTAATCACGGTCACTTCTCCGTACTTTTAGCTCTTTCTTTCTCTTTTGCATTAAGAGCAAATAAAAAAACGGCTTATCGACATAACCAAAGGTGTGTCCGACCTTGTGTAACCGGAGTGATGGTTATAACATGTATGTAGAAAGCGGGAGAAAGTGATCATCAGACCTTGATGTACGAGAATAGACGTTACTTTTTCCGTCATAATTACGTTGAGGCATCGCTGCTTATTTTGTGCATAGTCGAACATATGCAGGCACATATACATAAAGAGAAAGAGATGCTCACAGGCATAGAGGTTGCCATATGACCGTAACTAATCAAATCATTTTATGCCTGATTAAAGATAGCAGATATAGAGCATACATATACAACTCTGTAATGATTTGCCGGTGAGTTTTCTTGATTCGTTAGCCTCAATTTGGGTGTGACGATACCTTACTCTGATGATGCTCGCCATATGATGATGGTTTACACTTTTTCACCTAAAACGAACGAGATTACCTCGAAAACAGTGTCACCATGAATATTCCAGTAAAGCTACTTGACAGCCTGTCAAGAGGAATCTGCTGTCATCTTCTGATGGAATCGACCTTCGAATCTCTTCACCAAACACTTTAATTTGAAATGGAAGTAAGTTCAACAATTCTGAAACAAGAGAGTCCTCGAAACCTAACTTTTATTCGCAATTATACAGTAACTAACCAAATCGCAAAATGTCTCGATAAGCGGACAAGGTTACTTTATAAGAAGTAGGTAGAATTGCAGCCTCCCATTCTTTTTGCCTTTGTGCTTGATGAATTATCTTAATGCAAGCCCTGGAGATTTCTTCAAATGACGGACGTATGACCAGCAATGATTAGTCGGTGCCGCGGAACGCTGAACCTAATATTTACTTGCACCTGTCTACAATCACAGCTCCAAGCCAACCCAAATTCGATTTCAATTGAGACCAAAGAATTAATCCCTTACACTCGCCTCTTCATAGAAAATGAGAGATACTTTAGAATTAATTTATCAAGCGATGCCTCGGAAACCAGTTTTCCTACACTTGCGATGTATTTGAAGCCTGGACAACTCTAGCTCAATGCAAATGATGCTTGTCCCTACTCATAATTAGTAGGCTCCAAAAATTTTCAATATATTCTTAATATGAATTGTAGTCATATGCCAAATGGAAGAATCTTAAGGATTACATGTCACAGCAGTATTTCTCATTTTGAGGGAAATCAGGTGGCTGGTACACGTAAATTAACCTGGTTTAAATCCGCAGGATTGCTTGACAGTTACCACTTGATCCGTGCGAGGAAGTTAGCGTACAGTTTGGCGATATGCGATGAAATGGTAGAGATCTTCAGTATGAAACCAGTATATGGGAAAACTTCGCCAGGCACCTAACCAAGAATGGCATAGCCTTGTCCGCTTGAGGAGGTATATAATTATTTTGGTGGCTATTCAATGCTTTCCACACAAAATGGATATAAACGTCGCTTAAAGTCAATGCACGTATGATAAAACAGCTGTGTCCTTAGTTCTCACAACCAATTCTTCCTACGAAATGAAAATTCGAGTCTAACCAAATCAGTAAAGAATTCTTCTAAATCAGCTTTGCTTTTTATCCTACTTGGTCAATCCGTCCCAAAGTACGCTTCCATGCTTTCAGTTTATCTGTCATATGACAGAAGTAGCTCGGTATATCTTCATTAGCTTCTCAAGATAGCGCAACAAAGATTTGTTTGCGAAAAACCGGTCACAACTGCAAGGCAATTCATGAATCCCTTACAAATAAACGGTACTTCAAATTATCCAAATACTCTTCAAAGCCCAATATACATTTTTATTGATTTATATAAACATCACGTCTCATTTAAATTTTAACTAAAGTTATGTATACTACCCATCTGCCATCTGGTTAACGGTTCTTTTATGGCATAAAAAAATTTGCGATTAGTCGAGGCCTAGATCACAGTTACCTGTAGGACCCTCATCGCTTGCTCATGATAAGGCTTGGAACGAGTATTCTCAAGATACTCATCTTTGGCTTAACTGATTATTCGAAGCTGAGTTGCCTGGGGAAGGCGGCTGGACTGAGGGAAGAAGTAAAGTCGCCAGATTCCATATTGCTAGTAGCTGTCACATGAAAGCCCGGCAAATTGAACTGTAATTTTTGTAATGGTGATGATGGAGGCATAGTTTCTGCTGTCAGCGTGCACGGTGAGTCACAGGAATTATAAGAGGCGAATACACTTGGTGTTGCGACATTGCTGGTGCTGCAAGGGCTATTGATGCCTGAACTGCATGCATCAGGTCGAGTCAGGATTGTTTTTTTAGGATTCGCTCCAGCCTGCTCTGATTCTGATAAACTTATTCGCCAGTAATGCTTCGTCCCAACCAGCTGGTGCCAATCTTGAGTGTCTTGGATACGAGCCAACCGAACTTTGGTACTTGAAGGTAGGTCATTGTGTCTTGGAGTTTGTAAAGGCTGAGTCGTTCTTGGTATTCGCAGCATACGTTCCGGGACCTGAGGCAAAATTAGCTCATTCGACGTATTGAATAGACTAGACTCGGCGATCGGCAACGCTAAGAAAGCAGCACTGTCACAAACTTGCTGTAATGATTCGAGATGAGCTCCCTGACATATTTGTGTGCTGACAAGTGGACGTTTAACATCGGTTATGATGAAAGGTTGCCTTTTGTCAGCCGTATCAACTCGGCTAGTGGTAGGGCATAAAAAACCTTCTTGGGGCTGTAAGCTTGATTTACTGGATGGCTGGTGAGGAGATTTATAGTCCCTGGCCTGAGTTTCCCTAATGCAGGCGTATCTAAGGGAGCTAGGAAAAGAAATTGTTTTATCTACTGTAGCAAGCATAGAATTGCAAGTGTGGCAACTTGGGGAAAGTTGAGGAGTTCTAATTGGAAAATTCTTTGCTGATTGACTGTTGGAATTGGTTTCTGAGGCTAAATGTGGCTTTGAAATGTTTTTTGAGTACGCTGATGGCGGTGTAACATAAGGGTAAGCAGAAATCGACAGATATGGACGACTTTGCCCTTCAGGTGCAGTGGTAAAAGGTAGTTTTAGATAAGGTTCTTGGAATAACTCAATTAGTCCGGCGTCATGTTGGCTTTTATTTTTCTGATTCAGTTGGTATGTCTTTTTAAGAACCCATGAATTTGGAATCTTCATATCTCTCTTTGTTGTTTGTTCTCCATATTTCTTCACCACCAATGCCGATTCTTTTACATCTTCATTTTGTCTATGGCCGAATAGAGGTTTTTCCGAGGCGCAAGAAAAATGTGTATCTTTTGGCAGGTGAGTGAGTGGATGGTAGAAATTGCTGAAGGTTTCTCTTGAGCTGCCCCCGAGAATTGGTGCTAGTATCCGTAACCCGGATTTTTCCGCTTCTGAATTGGCCTAGATAGAAATTCAGGAAACAACAAGATAGTTTATTCATTAAGCTATGATA